GTACCACCTTGCACTTGCCAGAATGGCTACCATCAATAAATCAACAAACCACAAGTGCTGGCGAGAATGTGGAGAAAGAGGAACCCTAGTACACTGCTGGTGGGAATGCAGACTGGTGCAACCACTGGAAAACAGTGTGGAGTTTCCTCAAAAAATTCAAAAAGAAACTGCCATTTGACCCAGTGATCCCACTTCTAGGTATATATCCTATGAAGCCTAAAACACCAATCAGAAAGAATATATGCACCCCTATTTCCTAGCAGCATTATTTACAATAGCTAAGATCTGGAAACAGCCCAAGTGCCCATCAGTAGATGAGTGGATAAAAAAGCTGTGGGACATTTACACCATGGAGTACTATGCAGCTGTAAAGAAGAAGGATCTCTTACCCTTTGGGACAGCATGGAGGGACCTAGAGAGTATTATGCTAAGTGAAATAAGCCAGGCAGAGAAAGACAAGTTTCACATGATCTCACTTATATGTGGAATCTAATGAACAAAATAAACTGATGAACAAAATAGATCCAGAGACACTGAAGCATGCAACAGACTGACCAATCTCAGAGGGAAGGGGATGGGTGGGAAGAGGTTAACCAAATTTATATGCATATATGCATAACCCATGGACATAGACAATAGAGTGGTGAAAGCCTGGGGAGGGGATTGGAGTGGGGTGGAGGGGGTCAGTGGAGGATAAAAGGTGATTGATAAGAACGAGGTCCAGCACAACCCCTCCTAGAGCCTCTTCCAACACTCAGAGCTCCCTCAAGGGAGGACTTTGGGCCCATTCCACTGCCTAGCTCATGGCTTCAGACATGGTAGGCACTCGCGAGGTAATACTGTATCAGTGCTTGAGTATCTTTGGGGGATGGTGGGCAGGCACCAAGCTTTGCATGGATTAGCTTTAAGACAATTTATTTTATTTTATTAATTTACTTAGCAGTTAATCCCCACAGTGACCCTTTGAAGTTTTTAAGGGTGAGAAAGCTGAGGTGGCATTTGGGTGGCAGAGCTAGGATTATAGACCCACTCTCCCTGCCACCCATGCCTGTGCCTTTAACCATTACACTGTGCTGTTCCTACCTTAGTCAGCAGTGTCTTCAGCAGGTACTTAGGTTTATATTTTTTATGAAAAGTATAATTATACCATGGAAGCAGGACTGGGCTCTAAACTGCTTTGTCCATAGTTGGTGTTCAAAAGTGTTTTAATGAAGTTAAAGTATCTCATATAATTCTGTAGAATACTTGGAGTATAAGCTGGCAGCCAAAGGTGCAAAATTCTGTTGTTTTCCTGTTAGTCATGTTTACCATTTGCAAACTTAATCAGATATTCAGCAGCTGATCCTACATCTGGGTAAATGAGCTTTCAGCCACACACAGCCTCTGGTCTTCCCCAGAATGGCTTTCCTTCTGAAGTCTCAGATGCAACCTGTCCTCTCATACCTTGGCTTCTTGTTCCAGTCCTTGCAGGCCACTCCACAGCTTGTCCTCAATGCACGGGCACCCAGGCCTGTACTTCTCCTGGGTTTCTCTCTCTCAGCTCTGTGCATATCCATGTGATCCTGCCCAGCCTGGCCTCTGTAGGCTGACTGTTCCAATGTCCCCTGGCCAGCACCTTGGCTCATTAGCCCTTCAACACTCGTGCCAGGCCCAGTTCACTTCTCCTGCCTGCCTTTCTCATGCTCAACCTGGGCTGCTGAGTGTCCCAGGAGGATAAGAAGCTCACAATGTGCAGGTTGGAGCTACTCCAGATTTATACTCTCCAGACTGGGACCTTGGCACTGCTGGGAAGTTTCTTCCCCCCTACTTCCCACTCAATTTCCCCAGGAGCTGTTTCAGCCTCTTGTCTAATGTATGACCCTGCTCTATCCCCTTCATCCTCAACAGCTGACCTCCACAGAGAGCAAACCAATCCTTAGATAGGAACTCCCTCTGTCCCTGCCACCATACCTGAATACTAGCTTGTATTGCTGTTGGTGGCAGCCTCTTGCCTCCTGTTATTGTGAAAGGGGGAGCCTCCTCCTTGTGCCCTGACATCAGCCCCCAACCTCTCCACCCACTCAATCATCCCTTTTCCCACTCTGGGATCCTTGGCCTTTCCCCTCCACTGACTCCTTCCCATGAAGTCATTTCCATCGATACAAATAAGCCCTCCCTGGAATCATCATCACTGTCCCCTTCCAGCTAGCACCTCCTGACCTTTACAGACCTCTTGGAGGAGCTGCCTCTGATACTCCTCAGTGCTCATTGCCACTCACTCACCCCTTAAGTTATGTGAAACTGGCTCCCATCCCAATCTCTGCCCAGGCTGTTCTCAGTAAATTTGCCAATTGTATTCTTGTCACAAAATCCAATGTATATTTTTTAGTTCTTTGCCTTGTTCTCATGAGTTTTTGACATAGTTAAGTACTTTCTGCTTTTCAAAATACTTTCCCCTTTTCTTTTTCCCTTCAATCTCTGGCTGTTCTTCTCAGTCTCTTGCTTTATATTTCTTAAATGTTGGCCTTGTTCAGGTTCCTGGCCTTTACTTCTCTCCTCACATTACATGCTGTCCTTGAGCGCCATGTGCCAGACCTCCGTCATCCAATATCATCCACATGTCTGTGACTTCATATTGATATACACAGCTCAGACCTCTCTTCTGAGCTCCATACCTGTGTATCCTGTGGCCTGCAGACCTCTCCACTTGAATTTCTCACAGGCATTTTGTGCTCACTATACTCAAAGTCAAATGCTGTTTCTTCTCCAGTAGTCTATATCCCAGTTAATGATACCACTATCTCTCAGGTTACCCAGTCCAGAATTATAGGCATCACTGTCACCTCCTGTGCTACCCAGTTCCATTGCCCCAATCAACCACCATGTCCTGCCCCTTAAATATATCAAATCAGGTGCATGCCTCTGCCCTGCTACTTCCATCATTATTCCTTCAGCCAGATCACCGCCAGTCTCTGAGCTGGTCTACCTGCACAAGGTCCCACCCTCCTCCAGTCCCTTCTGTCCCTATGTAGCCAGTGATAATTGTACAGTGCAAGTCTGATCCAGGACCTGACCACTCTGGATTCCTCTCACCACTGCTCTAGTGTTCTCTGCTGAACTTCTTGCCTGCCTCTTGGGGAGCCATATATTCGCCCATCTCTGGTCATCTAAACATGATGGCCCCTCTACTTTGTGTGGTTTTGGCCTTCCTCCCTACAGCAAAGTTTTCCTGATTTGTGTTCCCTTCTCAGTGTAGATGTCTCTTCCACCCACCCTGGCAGCCTCATTCTCTCCTACAGCAAAGCACTTGCTCCCTGTTCTGCACATGCCCCTCTCCTCACCCACTTATCCCATTAGATTTTGAGGCCTTGAGGACTATGGTCTACACTTGTTCATAATTTTTACTCCAGTATTTAGCTCAGGGCCGAGCATTAGTACCCACTGGGTAAATGGTTGCAGACTAAATGATGAGTGTAGTCTTTGGGTTCACAGATGCATTTATTGCTTTTACTGATATAAAATTCACATAACATCAAATTTGCCATTTCAATCATTCCAAAGTTTTACACTTCAGTGACTTCCAGTATATTCACAATGCTGTGCAACAGTGACCACTATCTAATTCTAGAATGCTCTCATAGCTCCAAATGGGGACCCTGTGCCCATTGGCAGTCACTGCCCATTCTCCGCACTCCCCCTCCCCTAAGCCCCCGACAATCACTTTACTGACAATAATTTACTTTCTATATAGATTTCCTTGTTTTGGACATTGCATATAAGTGGGATCATACAATATGTAGTCTTTCACACCTGGCATCTTTAACTTAGAATATAATATTTTCAAGGTTCATTCATGTTGTAGCATGGAATAGTACTTAATTCCTTTGTATAGCTGAAAAATATTCCATTATATAGTTAGACCACAATTTGTTTATCCCTTCATCCATTGATGGACATCTGGGTTGTTTCCACCTTTTGGCTATTGTGAATAGTGCTGATATGATCATTCATGTACAAGTTTGTGTTTGAATACCTGTTTTCAATTCTGTGGGACTAGAATTGCTGTCATACAGTAATTCCATACTTAACTTTTTGAGGAACCACCAAGATTTTTTTCCAGACTGCGTAATTTTAATTCCCACCAGTAATGTATTAGGGTTTCAATTTCTTTATATTCTCATCACAGACATGTTTTGAATGTTGATCTCTACAAAATATAAGCTGGACCATATTTTGTTATGAGATTACCAAGGAGTGAACTATATCCCCCCTTTTTTGCTACATTTGAATTTTAGTTTACTAAAATTGTTTAAATAAATCTCATTGTTAGGGATTTACAGACTATTTTATTATACAGAAATTTTGTGGTAGTACAACTTTTTGTGTTCAGATAGATGGCACTAACAGAACTTTTTAAACCTAATTTGCTTGAGTAAGATCCATTTCTTAATGGTTTAAAAACTGATGATGGATTGTTATAGGTGAATTGTGTCTCCATTTAAAAAAAAATGTCGAAGTCCTAACCCCTGGTACCTGTGAATGTGACCTTGTTTTGAAATAGGGTCTTTGCAAATGTAATCAAGTTATGAGGTAATATTGGATTAGGGTGGGCCCTGATCCAGTCTGACTGGTGTACTTAAGAGAAGAGCCACAGACACAAGGAAAAAGCCACGTGATGATGAGGCAAAGATTGGAGTAATGTGTCTATAAACTAGGAACATCTGGGACCACTAGAAGCTGGAAGAGGCAAAGAAAGATCCTCCCCAAGAGGGAGTGTGACCCTGCCAATATCTTGATTTTGGACTTGCTGCCTCCAGCACTGTGAGAAAAGACATTTCTATTGTTCTAAGCCACTCAGTTTGTGGTGCTTCGTTCCAGGGGCCAAAGGAAACTCATATGAAAGATGTAGGAAGTTTATAATAGATGAGTTTGTTGCTTCTTTCAGTGGTCTCTATTTGATAATACTAGAGGACAGAAAAGTTAACTCAGATGAAATGATGTCTTTCTTTTGTCTTTCACAGGCAAAGGGTGGAGGATATGAAAGTGAAAGTGCTTACCCAAATGCGGAACTTGTGTTCTTAGAGATCCACAACATTCATGTGATGAGAGAGTCACTACGTAAATTAAAAGAGATAGTGTACCCTTCGATTGATGAGACACGGTGGCTATCCAACGTGGATGGGACGCATTGGCTGGAGTATATAAGGGTAAAGAGGGCCAGTCCCTTACATGCTTTCTGGATAAGATTTCTTTGTGTTGATGCCATAAATCTGTATCCAAGTGGTTTCTCAACATTGCAAATAAGCACAACTTTGCTGTGTATTTGGGCTTCCTTAGTTTCCATGGGAAGCATCCAGACTTTGATCTTCTTTGTGGGGGGCTTTTGTGATATAATAAAAAGGGATAGTGCTTGTCTCACATCAGGTCTTTTAAGTACTTTCTGGCCATTTTGATAAATGACCCTATTTACTGCTATAGTATTTTTTAGTATAAGTTTTTTTCCCCCACAATGCTAATGTTTTCTAGTGATTTTCAATTCATTCCATACCTTTTTTTTGGTCCTTTTTTGGTTGTTCAAAATATTACAGATATCTCTTTTTCTCCCCATTGACCCCTTCCACCCCGCTCCACCCTCTTCCCCAGTCTCTCACCACACCATTGTTTGTGTCCTTGGGTTGTGCATATATGCATATAAATTCTTTGGTTAATCTCTCCCCCACCACCCACCCACTGCCCTCCTTCCCCCTGAGATTCGTCAGTCTGATCTCCGCTTCCATGTCATTGAATCTATTCTGTTCATCAGTTTATTAAGTTCTTTAGATTCCACATATAAGTGAGATCATGTGATGTTTGTCTTTCTCTGCCTGGCTTATTTTGCTTAGCATAATACTCTCCAGGTCCATCCATACTGTCCCAAAGGGTACAAGATCCTTTTTCTTTACTTCATAGTATTCCATGGTGTAAATGTCCCACAGCTTTTTTTATCCATTCATCTACTGATGGGCACTTGGGCTGTTTCCAGGTCTTTGGAGAAGTGTCTATTCAGGCACTTTGCCCATTTTTTAATTGAATTTTTTGTCTTCTTCTTGTTAAGTTGTATGAGTTCTTTGTACACTTTGGAAATTAACCCCTTATCAGATA